TTCTAATATTAGCATTTAAAATTATTAGTATTATATTAGTTTGCTAGAGCTACCATAACAAAATACCACAAACTAGATAGCTTGAACAATGTATTTTATTTCTTTGCAGTTCTGCAGGCTGTGAAGTCTGAAGCCAGGTTGTAGCAGGATTGGTTTCTTCTAAGGCCCCTCTCTTCTTGGTTTGTAGATGGTTGTTTTCTGCCTGTGTCTTCACATAGTCTTTCTTCTGTGTCTACCTGTGTCCTAATCTCATCTTCTTATAAGGAGACCGTATTGGATTAGGTCCACCCTGAGAGTCTCATTTTAATTTAATCCAGCCTTTAAAGGCTCCATCTCTAAATAGTCACATTCTGATATACTAGGGGTTATTATTTTAACTTATGATTCGGGGAGGAACATAATTCAGGCCATAGCAGGTATATATATATACTGAAACTCATCAAATTGTATGCTTTAAATACATTCAATTTATTGTATGTTGGTTATGTCTCAACAAATGTGTAAAAACATGGAGGAAAGGAATGTGCTCATATTTGTATTTGCTTTTATGTGCATAAAAGAGTGATTGCCTTTTGCAGAAAAGGTGAGTGCATACCAGATAGCGTTCAAAAATAAGACTTTAAAAATATGTAAATATATTACTGATTCAGAAAAAATCGCATAAATACATATTTTTAAACATTATGACACCAAGCGCTTTGGGAGTTTAGGAGAGGCAGCAGTCACTGTGAATTGAGGTTAGAGATTCTGGCCTATAAAACTTATCACAGGTTCTGCTCTCTGTGGTAAGTTTCGCTTAGCTTTATTCAAGATTGTCAGTCTAGCCTTGACTGTATCATTGTCCCATATCTACTTTGTAACTGTTGTACTGTCAAAAACTTTACTGTTTTTTAAACTCATCTTGTCCGTATGTTCTTACAATAAGAAAATAAAAAGATTTACTTCATTGTAGTAAAACATAGCTATATTTAGGAATAAATTACAGTTTCTAAGACAGCTTTAGTTTTATTTATTTGCCTAAATTGATTGCTCCTCCATGTCTTTATCCAACTTCATTTGTTTCTTAACTTCATTAGGTCAGTTTTTTGGTAGTTTGTAGGCTGAAAGAAAGGGTTTGAGCTTTGTTCTCCTATGAGTTTTCTCCTTTATAGTTATTTTATAACCCAAACATCTATTAGCGATTAAGTTAAAGGATTTGAGGAATAATTTGTATATCTTGTAGAACTTTGGTATAGAAAATTGTCCTAATAATATATTTTTATAGGAAAATGTTTTCAATTAATACATTTTACCTAACTGTTAAGACTGCTTTAAATTAAAGCTGGGACAGTGGAATTTTAGGAAAATAATACAGGTTTGCTTTTTCATGAGATATTTGAATTCAGTTCAAAGGGCATTCTAAAGCCCTCCTTCTTTTCTTCATTCATTGCTGACCTATTTTCAATATAAATGGAAGATTGTAACAGCACTAAATTTGGGCCTTATATAAAGATGTCATAGGGAGTTGGCTGAGGCTCCATCCTAAATGAGAATTGTTAGTTTGCGGGTGTTCTCAGGAATAACAGATAAAGGTTTATTCTGTGCTATAGTTGTTTCCTGTTTGTGGCAATACCATGGGACACATTCAGGTCCAGGAATCCAAATTCGGAAATGCTCTCTGGGAGTATCATCTTACTTTGTCTTCTAGCCCTAATTTGAAATTCTTTGGAATAAGGAGGCAAAGTGCATTCTTGTCCTGGCTCTTATTATAACATTTCAGTGACTTTGGGCAGATTTCTTAACTTTTTCAGATATCAATTTATTCACCTGTAAATTGAAGGGATTATAGCTAAGACTTCTTAAACACTTACTTCGTGGCAGACACTTTTCCATGTGCTCTATTTTTATCTGCATTAATTTATTTATACAACCACTCTGTGAGGTAAGCATTGTTTTTAGCTCCATTTTAAAACTGTGGAAGCAAATTATCATCACCATCTATCCCCTTTGTCTTCATTTTTTTCTACATCTTCTAACATTATCTTTCTATATCTTGTAACTTTTTTTGGTTTTGTTTTTGTTTGAGACAGAATCTCGTTTATCACCCAGGCTGAAGTCCAGTGGCACTATCTCGGCTCACTGCAATCTCCGCCTTCCGGGTTCAAGCAGTTCTCCTGCTTCAGCCTCCCGAGTAGCTGGGACTACAGGCACACGCCACCATGCCCGGCTAATTTTTTGTATTTTTAGTAGGGACAGGGTTTCACCATTCTGGCCAGGCTGGTCTTGAACTCCTGACCTCATGATCCACCTACCTCAGCCTCCCAAAGTGCTGGGATTACAGGCGTGAGCCACCGTGCCTGGCCCTTCTAACATATTTTTAATTAAACTTTTTAAAATCAATATCCTCATTGTACTCTTTGCAGGACACTGTTTTTTGGGTTGGGGTGGGGGTTGTTTTTAGACAGGGTCTACTTCTGTCATCAAGCGGGGAGTGTGGTGACGTGATCTCGGCTCACTGAAACCTCTTTCTCTGGGCTCAAGCTATCCTCCCACCTCAACCTCCCAAGTAGCTGGGACTACAGGTGTGCAACCCTATACCCAGTGAATTTGTGTATTTTTTGAAGAGACTGTGGTTTCACCATGCTGACCAGGTTGGTCTTGAACTCATGGACTCAAGCAGTCTGCCTGCCTCAGACTCCCAGAGTATTGCGATTACAGGTGTGAGCCACCATGCCCAGTGTACATTTTAAAATATTATGTAAAAATAGAGATTTATGTAACTATTTTCAATTGACTTTATAAAGAAGTACAGTGCCCTATCTAAATAATGTAAAACATGTTTATTTGGGTTTATAAACACTGTGCTTGAAACTTCCCTAAGTTTGTTCATCTGCACTGTACAGCTTTCACCTCAGTTCTGTGGCTTTCACAGTCCGAACAGGCTCTCTACTGCAGGAATTAATACTTCTCTGAGTCTTGCAGCTTGTGAAGGCTCTGCCAAAACCCTCAGCTTCAGCTGCCCTTGTAGATTAATTATTCGTTAAGGCAGCCTCCAGTATAGGGGCTGGAAACAGAGAGGGGAGGTAATGTTTGTATAAAGTGAATTTTTTGTTTTGACTTGATTTGGGGTTTTTTGCTTCCTATTAGATTACTGAGTCTCAACAGTTAAGAAATTATGATACTATGGATTTTTTAAAATTTTTTCAGTAGTAGTAGAAAGATTATCTTCCCATTATCCTTGCAAAGTAGGCATCTACATATCAACTGAGTCTTTTCAGAAATATTGCTGTAAATTATTCATTTTCCAATTGCCATCAAATCCACATTACTTGCATAGTAAGACATTTCAGTAAATAAATAGACATCAGAAGTGATCACTTTTTACTGTGTTTCTCCAGGAATATGCTGAATCTTCTTAGACCCTTTTATTGTTAGGCTAGTACCTGATTTTGGCTTCCTATCTATTCTTTCTTTAAAGAATAGTGGGATTTTCATTTAATTTTGCAGAAGAATTTTAAAATGGCTGCTGAAATGGCAGCAAGATAGGCATAAATATTTATTGAACATAAGCTGCTAGTTGCTATGATTTGGCTTTAATTATCTATAAATGTAGTTTTAGAATTGTGTTTAAAATATCTGAGGTTATGCAGAAATGCACCTTAATATTGTGATATATTTGACTCATTTTGTAGTAGAATTAATAAATTATATTTCATTTCAGTTATAATGACCAATCTTTAATTTGTAAATCTTAAATTCTCTAGTACCAGATTCAAGATGTTTTATGTTACAAATTAAGCAGAGATTTAATGTTGTTGTCTGTGACTTTTACATATAGTTTCTTTAGGGAAAATTCGATTTTAGTTAAAGGTACTAATATTGCCAGAGATGTATTTTTAATGACTGACTTACCCATCTTTGCCTCCTTTCTAAACCCTTTGTTTTCTCCCTGTCCTACTCCAGGGCTGATGTACAACAAAGCCAGTGCAGCTTAAGCTTTAAGACCCCCTCATTTATCTCTTCCAAATCCTATCAGGGACCATGGTCATTTTGTATTAATACTGTATTTGTTCTCTTAAAGAGGACCCTTCTAATTACATAAGCTTCTGTATACACACAACCTCTGTATCCAACATAGGATTGTATCTTATAAGATTCTTAGTGGCACAGCAGAGAGGACCAAAAAAGTGGGGGGAATAAACCTGTTTAAAATCAGAAATCATATAATTGATGGGAGAAAAAGGAGGTTATTTTTTTCCATACAGTTTGCAAAGCTGTATCAACAGCTACCAGAGTCTCTGCTGATATATCATGTATTTCATAAAACCTTACTCAGTCTTCCTTTATCATCGTGCTGGTAGGCGGATTCTCTTCAGCTTTTCAGCTCGTGTACAAGTAATAGAATAGTGGGCAAAATTCAGAGAGGCAGACTCTTTCACCAGCCCTGCTTTAACAGGAGTGGGAAGGTAATGTGCTGGGAGAGGACAACTTGGAATGGTCCACAAACTTGTGCTTTGGCATCAGATAGTCCTTTCATTCCCCACCCACCCCAAGCTGGTACTAGGCATCAAGGGTGCAAAATTTGAGGCATCAAGGGTGCAAAATTTACATCTGAATATGATAGACTACTAATTAAAAACTTATCTCCCTCACCCTCAATTCTAAAAAATTAACACCTAATGACTTTCATTGTGTTGTTTATTTGGTAAACCATTTTGTAGTAGTAGGGGCCTGATGTCAAGCAGATGTCTATCTAATCACCGAATAAATCACTTACCAGCATTGAGATCCTGGGCAAAATAACTTCCCGGAACTTTATTTTCCCCAATTAAGAAGGCCATAGGATTAAAACGTATATACCTTTAAGGGCCTTATAATATGTAGGTACCACTGAATGTCAGCTCCTTTCCCCACAAGGTTCTTGTTTGTACATGTCCTGCAGCCATGCCCTAAGTGTGGTCTGCCCAACTGGCTACTCTCACTTGATTAAAAAGTATATGATTGTCAAACTGTATTTTCAGAGAATGATGAGGAGCAGGAGGCGCTGCCATCTCTGGATAAACCTGGCTGGTACTCCCAAGGGAACGCTGTCCACCTCTATGAACTTCTGAAGAAAATGACTGGCAAACCTGAACCCAAGGTATTTTCCAGTTGAGGAGAAGCCCTCAGCGCCCACTTGCAGACATAAGCAGTTGTGAACTGCCAAACCTCTCCTAATTCTTCTGCTTAAATAAGCCTTTCCTTTGTCAGTGTAGACAGGCTGTCTATCTGTGATAGAGAAGAGCAAGGATTCCAGGCAGGGCACCACAGATTTAGGGGGTGTGTGAGTGTGTAGGATGCCTGTGGAATGTTAATCCTGATAACAATCCATCCAAAAAGTTTTCATATATAAAACAAACAACTGAAATTATGCTACAGACTAGCTTAAAGATACACTTGTTTTTGACAGCATGATCACGTTGTTGATGTTGGACACTGGTACATTTCTAACAGCAGAACCCTTTCTTCTAAGAAAATATTTACCAGAATTTCTGTGAGCTGAGAGATCATGGGGTAACAGAGCCCTGCTCCATTGGCTGTCACCATGCCACAGTCCCGTGGGGACTCCTGAGGGTTAATGGATGGAGCAGTCTGACTTGCACATGCTGATTCTCATATCCCTTAACTCTGTTTTCACATCTGAAAATTGAGAGGTATGGACTCAGTCAATGGAGTTTTGCCTCAGACTACCTAGGGAACTTTCCAGCTTCAACATGCCTAGCCCCACTCTCACAGATTCTGTTTCAACCAATCTGAAGTTGGGCCCAGAAACTCTCTTGAAAAGTGGTTGTGATTTGCACTTTTAATAATCTCTAATCCACAAGTTGTCTCTAATACCTCATCAGCTCTTCAACTGCAGGGGCCATTTTATTAGTAATTGTAAACATCTATGTAAACATATAGGTTCACTTCTTTAGGAAAATTGAATAAAATCACTTATTTCACCTTATGCACTCTTCCACCTGTGAATGTGTTGTATAACTTCTTAAGACAAATCTGGCACCCTGTGAATCAAATGAGACAAGTTGATGGTCACCTGTGAGGTTATTAAAGACGTTTAAGCTGTTTATGCAGTTTTTGATTGTCATACTCTGATGCCTGTTGAGAAATTTTCTTCTTCTTTATATGAAATAAATGCCACTCTCTTTCACAATTCTGTGCCTCAAACAGCATCTGCTATCTGTCTTACAGGTTGTTTATTTTGGTGACAGCATGCATTCAGACATTTTCCCAGCTCGTCACTATAGTAATTGGGAGACAGTCCTCATCCTGGAAGAACTCAGAGGGGATGAAGGCGCCAGGAGTCAGAGGCCTGAGGAGTCAGAGCCTCTAGAGAAGAAAGGAAAATATGAGGTTAGGGTTCCCTGCATCTCTTTCCTTGAAAGAAAAATATTTATGTTTGAAAGCTAAAGTATCTTTATACTACTTGAGTCCAAAATTGTCCTGGTCAGGCTGAACGCCATCATGTTAAAAAAAAAAAAAAAAAAA